TCTTGTGTACATCACATAATACCTTCCTCTATCAATTGCTTCAAATTTAACTTCCATTTCCATTTTCATCCAATTAATTTGTTCAAATATTTTGTCTGTTTCAGTCTTTTTATTGACTTCAATTTTGATATTATCTTCATCATCTTCTACTTTATGTGTTGGTCTAACGTATCTTTGATTATTTCCTTTTATTTTAACTGTTTTATTAACTTCTTTCTTTTCTTCTTTGATTTGGTCTAATTCCATTTTCGTGTTTTTCATATCATTAACCATTCCTTCAATCTCTTCAATCTCTTTTTCAATCTCAATTATCATCTCTTTCTTGACTTTCTTGTTCTCTTCATTTAATCCTTCGTATGTATCCATCTCATCCATAATAGCATTGTTCTTTTGATTTACACCAACTCCTATTTGGATTTCATTCTCACATTCTGTACTTGGATTCCTCATTTGAAGATAATAGTCCTTATTCTTTCCATGTTCCTCATATTTCCTCTTAAATTCTAAATAAGTTTCTCGTCTTTTTTCTTGTTCTTCTTTGATTTCCTTAATTCTTTTCTCAAATTTTTTGTCTATTTCTCTTTCTTCTTCTTGTTTGCAACTTTTTTTATTATCATTTTCTTGTGAAATTGACACTCCAACTGTTTCTTCTTCTTTCTTTTCTTCTTCTTTCTTTTCTTCTTCTTTCTTTTCTTCTTCTTTCTTTTCTTCTTCTTTCTTTTCTTCTTGTTTCACTCTATCTTTTTGAATCCCTTTGTAAAGATGTTCAATTAATTTATTCTCAATATTTTGAATTGTTGTTTCTATTTGCTCAATCACTTCTTGACCTATTTTTTCTTTAACCTCTTGATGTCTCATCATCTCTCCAATCATTTTCATTCGCTCTTCAATACTTCTCTTTTTCTTCTCAAACTCTTCCATTGTCTTTTCAATATCTATTCCAAATGGTTCATCAAATGTTGCTGCAACAAAATTACTAACAGTCTCTTTGTTTGGACTCTCAAATACTTCATAAACTACTTTCTTCTGTGGAATGACAACTTTGTCCTTTTGATGAACTTCCTCCATAATTGAAACTAACTTCATCAAATTCTCAGCTTTCTTCTCATCAAATTCACCTTCATACTCTCTTATAATCTCTTCTATAATTCTAACCCTGTCTTCCATTATCTTGTTTTTTAAGTTTTATCCTTCCTTTTTATCCTTTCATTGTGACGTAACACATTATCTCATCTATACTCTTTGACAACTAACTATTCATTTGTTTTTCCTTGACTCACCCCCACGTGTTCATTTGAGTTTTATCATATTTTTGATGAAAAGACATTGTTATAAATAACATTCTTTTCTTTTTTAAATTGATGATTCTTTTTTTGGCTTTCTTCTTACTCTTAGTTTTCTGTATCTTCAAGCATATAATACATTGGAGACCTTCTCTTTCACTTATTGACATTCGCCATCATTACCACATTCCAATTACCTTACTTGATCAGTCATTTTCTTCGGCTCTCTTATTCTCATCTTCCCCTTCAAACAAGTCTCTTATTCTTGATTCTCATGTTATTCCTATTACGAATATCCGTTCTT